TTCCCTATCCTTGAATGTTTTAAACTATTACTTTGTTACTTTTTTCTATGTGGTGCTCATACTTGGTTGTTTAATTTGCAAACACCTTGAAGGTGTACAGGCTTAAATTACCTTGTAGTCCTAATATTTAAACTGTTTTTCACTAAATCCAAGCAGACGTAGATTGTTGCACGGGTAATACCTCAACATGGCACATTTTAAACCTGATTTATTTTAGATCCCAAGAGATTAGAGGCAAAATTGGAAGTGTTACTGCCAGGCTTTAAAAATGCATCTGAACTAGACAACCTGCTTCAGAACATTCATCCGTCTCTGCCATGCACAGTGAACCATTTGACAATCAAAATAATGGTACATTCCATTCAGAGGCTATTTTCTAGAATGCCATTTCATTTAAATGTGTGTCAGGCTCCCTGATGGACTGACTGAAGAGGAAGGAATGCCATTGCTCCAGCATGGGATCATAGTAACCAGTCCAATATATTGTAGCACCGCACAAGCCCTTCTCATCATTTATAAAATGAAAAAGTATCTCCTAATAGGATAGATTTCTGATTAAAGCTAATGGGACATTGCTCTCAGCTTCTTTGTATTCATCACTCAGCAACCGAAGCCAGGGCTTTCTCTGCTTGTTGGGCATAACCCCCCCCTGTAAGTCTCATAACAGCTTCCAGGTCTTGGCATCTATATATCTAAAAGCCAAGTTGCCCCCTCTGGGCGGATATCTAAACCCGCACATTGGGAGCACTTGGGGGGCAGAGAGATTTTCCTGCACACTTGGAGCAGTCCCCAGGTGTGCAGAAAAATCTAAAAAGTTAAAAAATATACAGGGATACTTAAATCCCCCCAAAAGTAAAAAAAAACATTCCCTGCGCATGCGCAGAGAATGCTCTGGCCATTGGGGGGGGAGGCTTGGCGGTCCGGCAGCTGGGAGCCGCTCAGGCCTCACCGCCAGTGCTGGGGAGGAGCGAGAGAAGGCTCAGCGGGCCCGACGGCTGGGATCCGCTCAGGCCTCACTGCCGGGGCCGGGGGGAGGAGATCGGTGGGCCCGATGGCTGGAAGCCACTCAGGCATCGCCGCTGGAGCCGGGGGGGAGGAGGGAAGCCGCTTATGCCTCACCACTGGAGCTGGGGGGGTGAGGGAAGCTTACCTGTGGCCGCTTTCTCCTCAGCCCTGAGGTCCTCCTGCTTCTGGGAGCCAGGGGGGGAATACTCCCCCACCGTGAGTATTGCGGGTCCCTCTTTTTGTATTTTTCTAAAAGCTGCTTAAATTTGATCTGAAAACATCTCTTAGTTGGGAAAATGCTTGAGTGCAACCCAGTTTAATTGCACTTCAACAGTCTCATTAGGCGCTATTGAAATACTGGGACTTCGTGCTTCTCATAAGAAGTAGAGACAGAGGAGGAGGATTCCAAAACAGTGAATGGCACAAAAATAGTCATACATTTTCATACAAAAACTTGCAGCTTGCAGCTAACAAAGTAATGTAAAGTAGAAGATCTTAAATGATGATCTCTTGCTTTGATTTGGGCACTACAATAAACCCAAGGAATTTCAGCGTGTGAACAACTGCATTGATGCAGAAACTTAAGGTTGTCCACCTGACAGTCCACAACGCTAGTTAATTTTGATTACTTAATAAATGACAATGCAAAAATCCTACGGGTTGGGTATAGAATTTCCACCCTGTGTAATCCTTAGATGTGAGTCAAAGGTTCTCTCAGCTCCCAGGGGAATTGCCTGGCTGAGATCAGGACCATAGTACATATGGAGGAGAGGCTACAGCCTTCTCCTCCCCCTTGCTGTTTTCATGACCAAAAATGGTCCTGGGAGGGAGGTACTTCTTGGCACAATCCAACCCATGTAGCATGTCTGACCGTTGCACAGAGTAGGGACCCAGCCCCAACCTGTGTACTCTGTAATGTGCAAATCAATACATAATACAAGAACTTGAGCATACCCAATGAAGCTCATTAGGAGTGGATTCAGAACACACAAGAAGAACTTCTTCATTAAACAAGTAAATAGCAGAATTCACCGCCACAAGTTATAGCTACGAACACTAACTTAGATGGCTTTAAAAGAGAAATAGACAAATTCACAGAGGAGCAGTGCACAAATAGCTGTTTACAGTGATGACTTATGGAATATTCATATTCAAAGGCAGTAATCCTGAGTGCTAGAGGGCAGCGGCAACAGGGGGAGACCTTATTCTCCCTGCCAGGCTTCTTGACCTTCCATGGGCATCTGGTTGGATACTATGTGGGGGAAAAAATGATGGGCTAGATGGGCTATTGATCTGATTCAGCAGGGCCTCTCTTACTTTCTTATGTTCATAAGAATCCTGTACAATATTTTTCTTAACAGTAAAAAAACCCAAAACTTTTCATTTTTAATCCATTGGGTGTTTATAAATTTCCATCATTCCCCCACTTCAAGTTCTGATAATGGCTAAGAGAGAAACTGCTTTCTTGTTTTTGTAAACGGAAATGAGGGGTTCCATAGCATGTAACACAAAATGGAACCGAAAATATTGCAGTGATTCAAGATCTAAGATATTTGCAGGGTACAGCTTTGGCCTACGACATGGAGATTTTGCATCCAAAATAGTGGTGGGTATAAAAATATATATAGCTAACAGCATAAATCCGCAAGGCATGAAAAAAACATCTATAATTCCAGCTAGAAAAAGCACTGTATCCAAAGCATTTAAGACAGCAGCACAATAATTAGTTTACTGCATTATACACAGATAGTTAAGACAGTACAAACAAACACTGCATGGCTGGAATGGCAGAAGATAGGAGGAAGGGCTCTAACTGAAAGCTCATGCAAAACGGGAGCTATCTCTAATGACAAGAAGCAACCATGGCATTACCTTCAAGCTACTGTCCATCTGTTGGACTCTTACCTTTTTGACATCTCTGACAAGATGATACAATGTATTAGATGGCCCATGTCTCTGAAAATGATCGACAACAGAGAATCAAACAATTTTGATCTGTTTAGTGGAAACAAAGTGCAATGCATCAAAATGCTCCTGTCCTTACGTATGGTTCCTTAAAAACCAAAGAACTAATGACAACATGAAAATTACCTATTTTATCAATCTTCTGCAAAATATCCATAAATATACTTTTCCTATTAGAGAATACTACAATGTTCATTGTCTTATCACAAAGCATTTTGAGGGAACATTCACAATATCAGACATATTTAATCTGTATTACTTCAATAAGCATCAATACCACCCCAAGCTATTCACAGAGGTAATGATCTAAAGAAGTAATTTACAGATCAGTATGATAATTACATGATCATTGGTGCAACTTATTTGGAACAACACTTGCCTCATTGTGGTAGGTAAATCTCAAAGTGACAGTGCCCTGTCTATTTCTCTTACTCATACATAACTTAGGCCCTGGTCACACGAGCCGGATAACGTGCGGGGGGGGGGGAGGCGTGGCTAATTGCTCCAGTGCAATTAGAGCCAACAGAACGCGATCCGACATGTCGGCGGCAAACCACGGGTCCTGTCCTCCCCGCTGCGCATTAATGAGGGGCCGGCACGATCACACCGCAGGAGTCTGGAGGCAGCCCATGGCAAACCGTTTGCCACTACATCGGAGGTACTGTTTTTTTATTGCGCTTTTTCGACGATATGCTACGGGTTGGCCATGGGTGTGCTCCACTTGCCAGATGTTGCAGTGTAATCGCGCCCCGATAATCCGCCCACCACCCGTGGCTCTCCTGCGGCAAATTTGCCGTGTGACCAGGACCTTAGTTTCTTATACTTTGGTCCCAGTCACTAATGTAGATCAGGTTGGATTGTGCCACTGTTCCACTTTCCCTGGGATCGGTGAAAGTCAGAGAAAGTCACTGCTGGGGGCCTGGGACCCCCATGCAGATGAAAAGCCATGTGGGCTGGGGCTAGGGTTGATGAAAAAAGAAACGTATAACTCAGCCTAAGTGGGTTCTAGTCCAAGTCCATAGAAGCTCATACCACAGTAAATCAGTTAGTTAGTACAGCACTTCAAGATGCCTTTCTGTTCTTAATATTAATCGTTCTTACAATTAACAGCTGTTTTAAAAAACTGAAATCAGTGTCATTAGCCAAAAAGAAACATTTATAATTTTTTTAAAAAAAATCTGTTTAAAAGTGTTAAACAACCTAGAAATTCACCTATGTTCCAAAATACATGGAAGTTATAAATTACGCCACAACAATTTCCATTACATGTATCAGTAACTATGTTGCATAGTCCCATATACACTAATGTGTGTGTTTGTGTGAATGGACTAGGTTGCCAAATCTGAGTTGGGAAATTCCTGGAGATTTGGGGAGCCCGGGGAGGGCAGGGTTTGGGAAGGGGAACTGACCTCTTCTGGAGATCAGCTATCCTTTTCCAAGCCACACCTAGAGGCTGGCAACCCTAGCTGGGGTGGCTGCAGTGAGGGGAGGGATTGGAGAAGCTGGCCTCTCTTTCTTCTTTAATTAGCAAAATGTCTGTAGCAATCAACCCGCAAATCTACAATCTTATGCATACCTACTTGGGAGCAATCTCCAATGAATACAGAGGGATGTGCATGCATAAGATCAGGCATAAGCAGAGGTCATTTCGGGGGGGAACGCGGGGGAACGCAGTCCCCCCGGGTGAGGTGCAGGGGGACGGGGCACATGACGAAGCCCCGCCCCCTGCTTCCGGCCGCCCTGCTTCCAGCCCTCATTCAGCCAGGAGGAGGCAGGAGAAGAGGGAGGGTAAGTTGCTTCCTCCCCGCCTCTCCCCACCCCTGCCTGCCTGGGGCCAGGGAGGGCCTTGGTGGGGCTTCCTCGCACTCCTGCTGGCCTTGCAGGTCCACTGCTGGACCCCTGATGTCAGGGGGTGTGGCATATGCTAATGCGTTATGCTAATGAGTTCCCCTAGCTCTTTTCCTACAAAATGACCCCTGGGCATAAGAACATGCATAGCATCAAACTAGCAATGCATGAATCCTTATTTTCAACCAGACACTAAAGGTCAATTAATCCCTAGTAAACGTTTAACAGTGCTAACCTACTGGTGGTTAAAACAAGGTCCAAGAACAGATTTTCCTTCCACACTCTGAGAGCAATCATATTACATACATCAACCTTCTTTCAGATGAATTATTTAGTGCTTTAACAATCATTGATGCAGAGTAGAATGACAACTTTATACTTTAATAAGCACTGTTAAGATTTGCAGACAATCTGCTCTCTAACCACTCTTTGGGTTTGTTAAGTCGCTCACTTGAAGTCCGATGGCCTATAAGGCACACAGCCCATGAGAGTCCTCAAGGTTTCTTCCTGTTGATAGCTACTGTTTGTGGAAGGTTAAGTAAGATCTGATTAGCTAATGATTTTTATATTTGCAAATGGAATTGTGGCCTTTTTTGTTTCTCTGTCCCTCCCAGATGCCTTTGCTGCATCCTGCAACTTCTTTTACACCCAACACTATGTACTCAAGGGTCAAACTGAACATGATGGCATCCTCGTGGTGGCCATGACGATACCACTGCCATTTTAATGACATTTTAAAATGCTGTGAGGACCTGGTCCTGATGGGGTCACAACACTGGTTCCCCTCCCTGTGCTTTTTCAAGTGCTGAAAAAACTGAGGGGAGGGGGGCTTGTCCCCTCTGCAGCTGTTTTGGCACTTGAAAAGGTACAGGGGTGGGGGTGGGAAACAAGAGCATTGTGCTGCCCTTGCAGGCACATTTTAAAATGGCAGTGGAGTCCTTCTGGTGGCCAAAAAGAACCATTATGTTTAGTTTGGCCTTAAGCCTGCACTAAATACCGTACTCCACTGTAAAATTCTAGAAGCTGAAGACAGATGCTAGAAGCTGAATTTAAAAAATCAGTGGGATTAAAGGATGCAATTCTGCTTAGAATTCCTAGCAGCACTTTCTCTGTGATAATGTATGGGATGGATGCTTGGCCTGGACTGGGTTTTGCCTCTGCCAGCCACAGCTCGGCCTTCTCTGGAGCCAGGGGAACCAGGCCTGACACAGAAAATGCAGGCCTGGGCCATGAAAGGGGCCGCAGCTGCAGCAGAAGATGGGACATCAGGCTAGGAAAGGGAGTAGAGTTGCCAGGTCTGGGTTAGCAACTGAAGACTTTGGGGGTAGGTCCAGGAGAGGGTGGGGTTTGGGGAGGGGAGGGGCCCCAGCATGGTACAATGCCATAGAGTCCACCCTTCAAAGCAGCCGTTTTCTCCAGGGGAGTTGATCTCTGTCAGCTGGAGATCAGTTGTAAAAGCGGGAGATCCCCAGGCCCCACCTGGAGGGTGGCAACCCTAGAGGGGAGCAGGGGGGCAGGACCTTTAAATGGGAGGCTTTGCTGTAGGCTTCCCAAGTCCCCCCGGGGGACGGGGAAACCCCTGCCCCAGAGGCCTGTTCCCTGGCGCTGCCAGATTGGGCCCTGGGGGGGAACTCCTCCCCGACGTGCGCGTCACCTGAAAGTGACGTGACCACGCCGGGCACGCTGGGGGCGGGGCCACGGCCATCCGAGGGAAAACTCTATGGGAAGTCCGAGGGGAACTCCGGGAAGTCCCAGGGGGGCCACGGCCATTTGAGGGAAAACACGACCAACAAAGTTTAACAGAGATAACGGCTTCTTATCTCACTACACATGCTAAATCGCTCAGTTCTTGCTTATACCCAGGATTAAACTTTGTTGGTCTTAAAGGTACCACTGGACTCAAATGCAGTTCTCACATCTGTTGTCAACTCTTTTATTTGCTGCTATGCACAGGTCTTACAAAATGTGTTACTCCAATCTCAGCTGTGTTTATTGCTCAGTTATCTTGACTCTAATTAGCCCTTCCTGGCAACTAACCCCCCTGCCCCAATCTCAGCTATAATCGCCCAGTTACTTATGCACCTTGACTCTTACCCCTTTCTGGAAACTAACCTTCCCCCACCTATAGGCTGAGGATGCCTTGTTTCACTGTATCTGAAGAAGTGTGCATGCACATGAAAGCCTATACCTTGCATAAAACTTTTTTGGTCTTAAATGTGCCACTGGACTCAGACTTTGTTCTGCTGTTTTAATTCACATATAGTAGTCTGTAATCTGGGATTGTAGTAGTTGAGCTCTACTTTATCTTGTATGTATTTTGAGTTGTTTTATTTTATTCATTGTTTTATTTTATTCATTGTTTTTAGTTGTGATTATATTTTGTTATTTTCTTATTATAGTCAACAGTTTAAACAAATAAATATTTACTCTTACTATTATTTTGCAATAAATCTTTAAAGGGTAAAGACATTCCTTCATACTTTTGTATGATAATTGTAATCATAGTGAATAGCATGTGGCCATCCTTAAAATAATGTAAATAACACAAGAGCTTAAAAGGTAGTTACGTTGTCCATGTTAAGTGACTCTGTAATTTCCACGTATCTTATAATAATTCAAAACAGAAAATGAAACCTTTAAAAAAGAGTTAATCTTCTGTTTACATGGAAGTGGAGACAGATGCTTTCCTTAAGTAAGGGAATGAAGTGAGACCTATGTTTGACTGGAAATCTGACCAATCTAAATCCGACATACTTTTTCAAAGCAGTAAAGGCCCCAATAACAGCATAAAGAGAACTCTGCTTGATCAGACCCGGAGTCCATCTGGCCTGTTTTTCACAGCAGAGAACCAGATTATTTTGTGAAGTCCTTGAGCAGTGAAAAAGACAATAGCCATCTCATTTGCAGTCAAAAGTAATAGATGAAGCTGTTGTCCTGCAAGAGCCTTGTACAGCATTTATAAGGCTATGGACTATGGGTGTAAGATGAACTGTGTAATAAATATACTAGGGGACTGAACTGTGCAGTAGCCCAATGATGGTGCCAATCTCCCAGACTGTAGACACGTGCCCAACTGAGGGAAGCCTCACCCTGAAGCAGTGTGCCAGCCAGACATGAACCCTGCAGACATACCCGATGCCCTTCACCCCTGCACCCATACAGGAGGCAAATCAACCTCCCTGATGCCAGAAATACACAGCAGCCAACAAGGAGAAGCCATGCTTTACACCAAGAAGCCTGAGTGTTCCTGCAAAGGACTCTATAGAAGGACTTCTCCAACATGCAGGCTGCCTTTCTCCCTCCACCTTCTCTTAGCATTACTGCATGTACTCATCCTCAAATTAAACAACAGAACTTGGCCATGATGGGATTATCTGAGTAGCCCAACACACCCACCGCCCATCATTGACTGGCCAAGCACCTGGAATAAGCCATCCACTCTGAGAGGTGTCACTGTTAGTAAACATTTAACTCCATTCTTTTAACCCATTAAGGAACTGGCAGCTTCTAGTATCTTCCTGGGGACTACGTGCCTTGGTGGTTCACGCCCCAACCCCCTTTTAGGATATATAAATAGATTATCTGCCCATTGTTTGCTCTCTCTTCTCCTGTCTACCTAACCCCACCCTATCTTGCCAACTCCATCTGTAGTGCTATCTGGAGTCTACCACGTGTACTGCTGGTCAGCACATAATCCCTTCCCTAGTACTTCCCCATATTTCACTGCAGGATTGCCTCGTCTCATCAGATAGGTAGAGTATTACCCCCACTAATGATACTTCCTGTTCATGCAACTGTCGCTGTACCCTTCTATCTAATTTAATAGTTCTGTATTGCTTGAGTGTGTGCTTGTTTTTATTTTAATTTTATGTGTGCATGAATTATTCAGTGAAAGAAATCATGTTTAAGATCTAGTCTCCTGGTCTGTTTCTGGGGATCTGAATAAATTGGACTCTGGTATACACAGGTTATTGCTCTCTAATTAAAGCCACTGCCATTTAATAATCATATTCCACCATTTTATTAAAGAAATAAGGCAATTTGGCTAACAAAGCATATATCACAATATTTTGCTGGAAAAAATCCTCTAATGCTGTTCAGATCGGTTTTCTTTTTGTACACCTGGAAGATAGGTAACCCGATTCACTGATATGAATCAGAAAGGGCTAAGACCTATTTCAAACATTTATGCAATAACAATAGGCATTGTACAGTGGAGAAATTATGCCTTTCCTTTACCATGCACCTTAAGTAACATATCATACCACCTTGGCTTGCCAGCCCCCAGGTCCAGGTGGGAGACCCTTGGTTTCAGGGGCTTCTCCCCACCGCAGACCAGCTGGCCGGCAGGGGAAACCCCACACAGGGACATAGCTGTGTTACGTCCCTGATGTGATGGCAAACTCTATGGTTTGAGGGCAAAAAACCATAGAGTTTTGCCCAAATATCACCCACCCCCAGAATGCCCCCCAAATCCCTCCACTGGAGCGATGAGGGAACCTGGCAACTCTAATATAACCTATACATATGTCCATCTGAATTGTACAATCCTTCACTTTCAAGTGAAGGAAATCATATGAATGTGGCAGCTATACATAAATGCCATACATACATTCCATGGAGACATGGAAAGTTCATATCATACTTTGCTTTTGATATACAGTTAGGGGCCTACAATAATACTCCAGAACATAACAAACATCTGAAACAGACTTATGATTAGCACCACTGAAACATTAAGCTCTATGCTTTCAAATGACTGGTAGTTAAGAATAAAATTTAGATTTAGATAAACAAAACAATATTAAGGATTTTACAGTGATTCAATTTTAGCATAGAAGTTCGTTCAGTTGTTAAAGGTGTAATTTCTTTTATCATTAATAGATTATCATTAACCTTAGGAAAGTTCTTGTTTACTCTTTAAAGAGAGAATCTATCCCAAAATTCTGTGATATTGATGTTTTAATGTCTGCTTCTATATATGAAATATGTAGTATGTTTGGTAATATATCTGACCTTACTTGTTGTACGTAACAATTCATATTATTTGGTAAATGATGAATATATATTTTCCCCCACCCCCTTTTCCCTTCTGTATCCCACCTTTTTTCTGAGAAAATTATATATATATTTTTTAACCAGATGACTGGTAGTTAGAGCAACTCAGTTGGTGGCGCTCCTTTCTTTCCCTGCATTTCCATGCTGGGGAAAATGGCACCTCCTAAGTTTGTTACCTATCTCTTAAAGCACATAGCTTCAGTCAGGGAGCAAAAAGGTGGCAACTCTAGAACGACACTATCTCATGGTTCTTTATGTCTCTCTTGGCTAATTTGCAATTTTGACAATGATGGCAGGTGTGCTGTGGGAAGTAATGCAGCTAACCAGAACCCTGTAACCTTCCAAATATCTTCTTAAAGAACAGTCATCTCAAAGGCAACAGTTTCACACGGAAATCACAAAAAGCAATGTTACATTTTGGATTAGGGGTTATTATTTTTTTAAAGCAATAGCAGCACTTTCTCTTTTCTACTGATAAAAAATTGTAAGAGAGAGGTTGTGGGTGCTTGCCATTTTAGAAAAGGATGTTTTAATGGCTGTTACAGGATGCAGCTGAAGAACAAGCAGGTGAGCTGCAGTGAGCTTTTGTTACAAGTGTCAAATCTAAAACTGCAGGGATATCTTATGATTTACAGCAACTCATTTGTAAAAAGGTTGTTGGATGATTTTTTGTGCACCATTCTAATTCTGTGTGAAGGTGAAACAAACAAACAGATAGAAAATTTGCTTAGCTTGGCCCTACCGTATTGTACAATTCCTCTAGTCTGGAGATGGTGAGAAAACGGTGCATGCTTACTCCATTCTCTATGAGCAATTTCACAAAATCCACTCTGTCCAACACCAGGGCATCTAGCATTGCTTGTTCAAGGGACCCCACCTAAAAAGGAAATAATCCAATCAGGTTTTCCTTGGTGCCAACAGGTATCTGGATGCTCACCTGGCTTTAGCATAGTAAAGATATGGCATTCATTCACATTTCCTGGCATCTCAAATGCATAATATTCCTCACTCATGTAAGGACAGTCCAACATGTATTCATTCATTCATTCATTCATTCATTCATTTATTCATTCATTCAAATTTATACCCTTTCCACCCCACCGAAGCAGGCTGTTACAGGATGAACACACAACACATGTAAATATCATATCTACACAAGCTACCTTTATGGAATTTTCCTAAGGACAATCTTGCAGGCAGGATCCAAGAGGAATCTAAGATATTCTTTTGTCACATACATTTTCAGCATATGACCTCACAGCAAAAGATCTCAATCCTTAGTTTCTATTCAAAACAACTCACTTGAGGATGAACTATTACACTGGAATTAGCCATAGTGTTGCAAAGGACTAAATGACCACACATCACAGTGACATCATCCGTGGGCTTTGCAGAGAGGGAATTTCTTACTTCCTCCTCCATCTGCAGCCTGCTGAGTCCCCTGAAGTTTTGTTGGGAGGGAGCAGGGTCAACAGATCATTAGGAACACATCAGGCAGAACTGGGGGAGCTCCCGTGTCTGGTCCTAGCTCCTGCCAACCTAGCAGTTCAAAAGCAAGAAATTGCAAGTAGATAAAGTGTTCCGTGTGTCTCGGCGTCTAGTCATGCTGGCCACATGACCACGGAAATGTCTTCGGACAGCACTGGCTCTTCGGCTTTGAAACGAAGATGAGCACCGCATTCCTAGAGTCGGATTCGACTGGCTTTCGAGAAAGGGAAACCTTTACTAGTGGGAGGAGAAACTGGTGGAAAGCACTGCCCCCAGCTTCTGCATATGGGAATGCTGTTTGACTGGAAACAAACTGGTATAAATACAGGCTTGGATCCTATTCTTTCTTTCTGCTGCGGACTCCTTTCATGCCAGTCCCTAGGGCCCCTTTCCCACATGAACAGTATTTTGTGGAGACCAGTGGGCTGCAGTGGAGGGGAGAGGCAGGAAATTTCCATTCTGCCATTGGAAAATGTAGTCTGGATCTGACACACAAAAGTTATTTACACTGCCTTTCTTGATCAGACCAATTAATCTGTGGCCAGTCAGATAATTCCAGGAAGCCCGCAGGCTGTGCACGAGGGCAAAAGTCTACTTGTTTGACTCTTAGCAACTGGTATTCAGAAATATTCTGCCTGTGCTGGAGGTTACATTTAATTTAATTAGCATGGGTGGTAAACCAAACCTTACTGAAGTTGCATAATCCAGTTTTAAAGCCATCTAAGCCAGTAGCCTTCCCCAGCTGTACATCCTGTGTATCCATTCCACCTGGTAGAAGTTAATTTCCTAAGGTGATTATGCATTGTGTAAACAGGTACTTTCTTTTGTCTGTCTTGAAACTAACATTAATCAGTTTCTTAGGCGCTGAGCATTATATAAGATAGAAAAAAATTATCTCCACCCAAAGTGGGTCCACAGCAAGCATAATTTTATAAATCTAGTAATTTGTTTCTTCTTTTCCCAAGTATTTTATTCTATCATCATAGAGAAGGTGCGCCAATCTCCATCATAATTTTGGTTACCTTTTTCTACACATATTTAATTTCTGACATTTTCTTTTTAGATGGACAAAGCTGAACTGTACACAGTAATCAAGATACAGTTTTATATACATGCATTAGAAAACTGACTCCCCCACCAGTGATCCCAACATGGACTTTGCCCTTTTCTCTCTTACCACTTACTGAGACGACCTTTACATTAAACCATCTCCTACAACTGCTCCTGGTGATCTTTTCACATCTTATTAGTGCAAAATAGTTCTGATTTTTTTTGTCCCATTGTTCATCACTTTACACCTACTTCATTATGAATGATGTGCAGATATTGCTTCTCATTCACTCAGATTGGGTGATCCTATAGAGCATTTTGCTGTTTCACCATCCTGAATTATTTGATGACACTGGCAAACTCATGCTCACACTTAACTCAAAACCACTTACAAATAAATCAATGGCATTTGTCACAAGGCAGAATCCCAATACTTTCAGCCATTGAGAGAATTATTTATTTTTACCCTCTGTTTCCTGTCCACTTAACCCAATTGCTAAATTTATCCTTAAAATTTTAAAGAGGGACTGTGTCAAAAGATTTTTGGAAGATCATGCCTATCTCAATGCAGCACTGACATTCTCAAAACAATTCCAAAAGTTTAGCAAAGCAGGAATTCCCTTTTCAGACAACATGCAAATTCTTCCTCAGCAAGTCTTCTTATGTATGTCTAGTAATTCTGGCTTTAATAGAGCTTTACAATAATTTATTCAGGAAAGAGGCTAATAGGCACGCAATTTACTGGATATAATTGATTCTTTTAAAAAACAAACTTCGTCTTCAGCTTCACATTTGGGTTCTTTAAGAATTCTTAGGTGTGTGGTAGGCAGACCAGTGACTCAATTTCTAATTTCCCAGAACTTCATTTCTTGTTGTTTGGATTTTATTTAGATCTCTGTATATGTTTTCTTTCTCCCCAGAGTGGTTCAGACATTGGCTTCTATCTATCATCTGCCACTTTCAAGACTGGTGTGATGAAGGTATTTCGTTCTTTAGATACTTCCCTAATCTCCCTTCAGTAACTCTTTTTACTCCTTTGTTGTCTAACAACCAAACCAGCTTCCCCTTGGTCAAACGGACTTAAAGAAATTTTACTCCCATCAGTTTTATGGTCCTGGGTAGCAAATGGGCCTTCTTGAGTTTAAGGGCTATGAAGTTTCTTCAGAAGCCTTGATCTGATTATTTGCTTCTTGCTTCAGTCTCATGTCTCATATACCCTTTTCCTCAAGCCTTAGGCTACTATTTTTCAGTCTATTCCTTACAGGCTCCAAAACCTTCCTTAGATCTCAGTAATCTGAGTCCTCAGCCTGTCTCATTTGTGAACTTTCAGTTTCAGTCTGTCAATTTTTTCTTCCCTTACAGAAGTGTAACTGCAAATGATTGTTTCCTGAGTTAAGAGGACATTCTTTATCACTATATTCTTTGGGTTATGTAAATCGGCATAGTTTGCCGTCTTTTGTAAGCCGCCCAGAGCCTGTTCGCAGGGTGGGCGGGGTATAAATATAAGTATAAATAATAAATAAATAGTATGGTATCTGAAGAGGTAAGCAGTAACTCATGAAAACTCATACCCTGTCATAAATGTTGTTATTCTTTAAGGTGCTACGAAACTCTTGCTCTATTCTGCTGCTACAGACAGACTAACACGGCTATCCATCTTGAGCTATCACCATACCACAGTATGACTTCACTACTATAAATATGAGACAGATTCCTGGCCAGTTATGCTACACTTTAAGAAGACCTCTAGATGGCAACATTTCCTTTAAGAAGAGGAAGAAGGCCTCCTTTCATGAATGTTTACTGACAGTGCTTTGGAAACCCCTTCACAAATGTTTTTCTTCAGAATAAATTGAAAATTATATTAGTAATGGTTTATATACTGTACCGGCCACTGCTGCCCATAAATAAAAATCTGGCTGCGAGCGATGTCTACTCTGTTCCAGGCTAATGCTAGACTCAGTTGATCGGGAGCAGATGCATTAGCTCCTGTACAAAGAGATGGGGAAAGTATAAGCATTCTTTATTAAATGTAATCAGTGGTCAAGCACATACTGATGGATGGGGAGAGAGGTCAAGCATGAGAGAGAGAGAGAGAGATCACAACCAGAGTCATAGTGGTATGCTTTTATCTGAATTTTTAAACAGCTTAGAAAATTAACTTCCTACAAAACAAAATATTAATAAATAAGGAATATATAATTGTATTTTGGTGGTGGCACTTCGTGAACATTCCACATGCTCCCAAATCAGTTGGCTCCGTGATGTGTCACTCAGAAGCTGTCCTTATCCACTGGCTGCGTTGCCTGAGTTCCACCTCCAATATTCTAAACAGTTTGCTGTTCCTCTCCCCCCAATAGCCAGTCGGAACACAGAGGTAATTTGCATATGCGGCCTGATTGGCTTTTGCCTCTAAGATTCTAAACAGTTTGCTGTTGCTGTTGGGAGTAATTGAACGTGTCCTGAGGTAAAATACATATCTTCCCTTAAACAATCTTCCCTTAATCTTCCCTTAAACAATCACTGGAGTTGCCAAAATACATATCCCAATCTTCCCTTAAACAGTCACTGGAGTTGTCAATCTCTCTGTGGGGCCTGGAGATCTCCCAGAAATCACTATGTTCCCCAGCCACAGCACATCATTTCCCCTACAGAAAATTTCCCAGCTATTACAATGGCTGCTTTGGGTAGTGGACTCTATGGTATTATACTCTGCTGAAGTCCCTCCACACCCAAAACCCTGCCCTCCCCAGGCTCTACCCCTCAGATCAACAGGTCTGGCCCTCCCCTTAGTATTGCCAGCCTCCAGGCAGCACCTAGAGATCTACAAGATCAGTTCTCCTGGAGAAAATGGCTTCTTTGGGCAATGGGCTCTATGGAATTATACCCTGCTGAGGTCCCTCCGCAGCCCAAACCCTGCCCTCCCCAGGCTCTACCCTTCAAATCTACAGGTATTTCCCAACTCAGAGTTGGCAACCATGTAACTGGCTATGGAACCGCTTTCCAGACCCTTGGAACCCAGAAGACATGGCATAGGAGGAGGTGGTTTTCTACCTTAGCTGCCACTGCATAACCCCAAATCAACATAAGTCAGGGGTGGAGGGAATTATTCCTGTTACCATGAGGTTGTCCTCCCATATTACCCACTTGGGACAGCAAAATGACTTGAGACAGCCCTGCCTTATAGCTAAGCAGAAGGAAATAAACATGGCTTGCCTCCCTCTATTTTCCCCTTCCCTCTGCCACCCCACCAGCCACAGCCGGGACACTCACCTGGAGCTTCCTTCTAGAGCTTGTTGTATTTCTTCCCACAACGAGCCTTACTCCTAGTGTGTGTGTGCGTGTGTGTGCAGCTTTTCATTGTAATGTAACCCAACAGGACTTATCACATTGTTCTCCTCTGCTCTGCTTTATCCCCACAACAACCTTGTGAGGTAGTTTAGCTGAGAGATTGTGATGGGCCCAAGGTCACCTGGTGACATTCCATAATGGAGTGTGTATCTGAATTCAGTTGTTCCTGGTCCTAGTCCAGTACTCTAACCACTGTGCAATGCCAGCTGTATTTTGGAAGACTAAGCTTTTATCACATCTTTCGTGTGGCCTCAACTAAGTATTTAATCAGCTCTGACTACCCTCTTTCCCATTCTATGTCCTCAGTCCAGCTAAAATAGGTAATGACTAGCAGTGCAATCCTAAACAGAGTTATATCCTTCTAAACCCAGCGACCACAACAGACTTGGAATGATGTAACTCTGTGAGTCTCCATGAAATCAGTTCGTCATGACTAGCTCAAGTCCCATTTGCTTTCAGACTTTTGCTGGATTAAGAGATCTTTTCACTTTGAGGATACTTAGTTGGGAAGCTATAGAGCCATTTCTCGCGAATGGAAGCCAGTGCAAGCAGCAGCTTAGAACTCTCTGGGGCTGAGTTTAGCAGGATTTGTTTCAGTCACAGTTCTTCGCTGAGTAGAGCCAGAGTGGGAATAAGACCTCTCAGAAGACCCTTCTATAGGGTTGCCAACCTCCAGCTGGAGGCTGGAGATCTCCCACTATTACAACTGATTTCCAGGTGACAAAGATCAGATCACCTGGGGAAAATGGACACTTTGGAAGGTGGATTCTATGGCACTGAAGTCCCTCCCCTCCCCAAACCCTGCCCTCCTCAGGCCACACACCCCAAACCTTCAGGTATTCCCCAACCCAGAGCTGGCAATCCTACCCTTTTCCTTCTGTCCAACCCTTACCACAATACAGAGCATAAAAGAGATGAATGAATAGCAGAAAGAAACATCCTCTGATTGGTGCAAAATGAGTCTCATATTATGCTTTCCCCTGGTCACTCTATCTGTGCCCCTAGACATCTCACTTATCTTGTTTTACAGCAAAAGTGATGGAATTTGACTGTACCATGCTTCTGGAAATTGGTTATATAGTCTCTCATGACCATACGCTCCTGACCACAAATCAGTACAATGCACAAATCTTGTTAGAAAGGGCCCAAGTGTAACCATACACATTCAGCATGTATTGTCAATAAAAAAAAATAAAAATGAATTTCCTGGACCAGTCAGAAGCATGTGCATGGGAATGATTTCATGAGGGAGTCAAAAATGAAATAAATGAGAGATGACTCGAGTGTTGATGTGGATGCATTCTCAGTCACTGTGCTGTAATGAGGCCACATCCAATACCCAGCATTTCTACAGCAATTATCTATCTTCTGTGGGCTGTCTTAAAGTCTCATATCGCTGCACCATAAAGTGTGATCTGATAGGAGGAAAAACACCCCTTTCTCATTTGCACACACACAACAGACCCAAGTAAACAAGTTACAGGGGAAAAAAATTATGATGAGTAATCCCAGCAGTGGAAGAAACCAATAAATCCTTGATTCTGAAGTACTTTCCTATGCTCCTGATAAGGTTGCGGTACTGTTCTCATCTCCTTTCATTCTCAGATTGCTATTGTAAGTCTATCCATGAAATTAATAACCTTAAACAAGATCCAACAGATTTATATGAACTGTATTTTTAGGAATAAACATCTGGAAAATGGAATATACAATTCATGAACAAAGAGGAAATACTAAAGAGATGGCAAAGAGGTTTCTCATTTGCAACTAGGGCACAAAGAGCTTCTTAACATTATTTGGGGTATCCAGTTGAATTCATGATTTGGTGCTCAGAGCAGCTCCAGCAGCATTTTTAATCCATGTTTATATTATTTTGCATCTTCATATTAAAATTAACCAAACAGAAGCCTCTTTGATTTCCTGCTTTATAATCCCTTCAGGTTTCAAAAGGAATGAAACCTGATCAAGGCAGAAAATTTGCTTGGAGAGTGATCATGTGGTTTTTCTGTTGTTGCTAGGAAACCCCCTTCATTTGTCTATCCATGTTAGAAAGCTGCTTCTTTACCCTGTGACTCTCAGGTGGATTTACATCATGCTACTGTTACATCAGAGCAAAGCAAAAATCTCTGCTGCTGAATGTTCCCACTAAGGGTAAAGGGACTATAAGATCTCTGGCTCAACCACAGGATACATTAAATTAGATAGACGGCATAGTGGAAAAAATTACTGTGAAATTCCCACCTCTGCAAAACCCAGGAACACAGAGCAGTACTTACATTGGGTCCAAATTACTTTTGTCTAGGATAAAGCATGAAGAATATAAACACAAGTCTTATATAAAACGCCAAAGATTCAGGTGAGTAGCCATACTGGTCTGAAGCAATAAAATTAAATTTGAGTTCAATGGTGCCTTTAAGACCAACAGAGTTTTATTCAAGGTATAAGTTTTTGTGTGTCCTTCTGAATAAAACTTTGTTGGTCTTAAAGATGCCACTGAACTAGAATTTTATAAAGTGCCATGTGCAGCAACCTCTTGGAAATTCTATTTGGCTTGTCATTTAGAGGGGGAAAAGAATCTGCCTGTTTGCAAGCCTTTTTCCAGATTCATATTTCTCTCTTTTGCCACTGTGTGGTGTGTGCACGCGCAAAGGAATAAGGGGAGGAGGAGGGAAGGTCCTGACTTCTTTGCTGCTACAAGCAAGTTTTTCAGAATGTGTATTAGCAAACTGTCACTCTTTCACTGAAACTTATCATGCTAAATTAATCTCCTGCATTTTTGTTTCAAAGCAAATGTACAATCATTTCATGGTTGATATTCACTGCCCTTTGTGTTACAGGATGGTAAATGTGAGCAACATTGTTCAGAAGCTGTAGAATGGATACTGTCTGAGCATGAGTCATCATGGCACATTTACAAGCTAGAAGGAACGCGGACCCATCAGGCTCAGGTTAGCTTAACAATACGCTTCAATGAACAGCACAACAGATTAGGTAGCCATAACGGAAATGAACATATATTATCCAGTATGCTTCTTTCAAGGTTTTAATGATTCAGATACTGCAAAGATTTTGGCAGCCTGGTGAATTATGTTGGGAAGGGGACTGAGAAACCTGGCCAGCTATCAGAATGGCAATTAAAGTAGGTTGCAAATCAGCTGGGCCTGGTGTTTCCCCACTATATACAGAGTATTATAATACCTAGGGAACAATCTTCACAGTACACAGAGTTCTGTGACACCCCCTCCCCTGGCCATCCATTTGTTAAAGCTAAGATCACCCTGGTAGGCTATGAGCTAGGATGGAGGCAGAGTGGAAGAGCTGCTTTGCATAATAGAACTGTCTCATTCAAAACAATATGAACAATATGTGATTACATTGTAAGCCCTCTGATAATGATATCTCCCCATTGAAATCAGTGCACATAGTTGAAATCAGTGCACATAGAACTGGACTAGGAATGAGCATGCTGGCCCCAACCCCATAAAAACTGCTGGTTTGTGAGCTCGGCATCTATACATACAAAATGTACACACATAAGCTGAGTTCAGACTGGCAGTTTGCCTCGATATAGGCATGAGCCAGAAATGTTTCACAAACGGATTAAAGGCACAGGCACATCTGTCAGGCATTCCCCAGCCGTACTCAACCCGTCTTGTAACGCTTCCCTCCCGAGTTTAAAAGATACCAGGTGAAAGTGGTATCAAACCCTGGAAAGCATGATTATCCCGTGTCCATCCTGCTTCCCGGAAGTGTGAATGCGAAAAGCCGTGATCCGGTAGGGATGTACTTATGCGCATGAGCGCATAAGCACACATAACCAAATTACCAGGAAAAGTCGCTTACAGCCGCACCTCCGGGCCAACAGTGTGAATGCTCCTTTGCACCTCCTCCCCGGTATGCTCCCGCATCAGTTGGTGCAGTGTGACCAGGAAAACCTGGAACAGTTTGTTCCGGGTCTTTTTTGCCACGACTCCCTCCCACTTCAAACTGCCAGTCTGAACTCAGCCATAGATTTCAGCCCAGTGATGAGGACTGCTGTTTTTTCAAATGTTTTCAGTCACAGGGCTGGGGCCTACATGCATGCTCATGAGCTGGTGATTTATGTTGATGGAGGAAAGAGCCAGCATGCTCATGCCTGATTGATCTCTATGTGTATTGATTTCAGCATATGTATGGCTGTAGAGGGCTGTTAACGCCTACAAATGAAAATGGACAATATGAAAATGAAAATGGACAATATGATTTGAAGTTTCACTGCTTTGACAAAGCAAATGAGGACAACACTAAAATCTTTAGATATGGTACTGTTTTCAGCAGGGGTCATTTCGAAGAAAAAGAGGTGCAGGAGCTCATTAGCATAACTCATTAGTATATGCCACACCCCCTGACATCACCAAAAGTGTGTCAGAAGGCAACACCCAATCTCAGGCTCCACTGGACTGTTTTGGATTCCTAGCTATTGGGGGGGGGGGGAACGTGCAGATCTGTCCTCGCAGAGGAGGGAGAGCTTGTACCTGAATAAAACTTGGTCTTAAAGGTGCCACTGAACTGTTTTGGACTGGGGTGTGGGTGGGGCGGGCTCTGCAACTTACCTGGCTGCTTCTTGCTCTGACTGAGGGCTGCTGGGAGCAGGGGGTGGGGCTTGTTGCATGTACCCGCCCCCTGGGCTCTTTACTGCCGGAGCTCCACTCCTGTGCGCTCCTGCAGGAAATGACCCCTGGTTTTCAGAGATTATTTAAATAATCAGGCACAGGAACGGCTAGAGTAAAACTCCTGGGTATTGCTGACCTGCCAAAGCTTTCCTTTTGGCGGCTGCTATGTACTGGTTTTTCTGAGGATAAGAAGGCTCTCTCTAATGATAACAAATTAGAATCTAGCTGTATCTCTTCTTCTAGCTACTTGGTACTTGGAAACTGAGCAAACTTTGAGTGGCCTTCAAAATGGAAGATAAATCTATTCAAAGAACAGTTATTGAGCTCTTGATGGGAGAAACATTAATGTTGTTCTCAGCATGCATCAGCTGAAGGAGGTCAGCATTGTATAGATTAGAAATTGTGCGGTGGTGCCCAGGGGATTTAGCAGCCTTTTGAGATAATTAAAAAAAAGATATTTAATGGGAATCCTTTAAGTGAATAAGGCCTTTCATTTACTGGGTAAGGAACAACAGGCCATTTTTAAACTTGTCTGGCTTGGCCCATAACAAGTCTTGATATACAGCAAAAGAACACTGTGAACCAACAGAGAAAACACGTAGCCTATCTTCATTGGCTACACATACAAACACATTAGTTTATGTGAAATACTACAGACATAAAAGCTAGGAATTGACAATATTAAAGAGCATTTTTAATCAATGGAAATGAATTTAATTATCTGTGATTGGATTCATAATGTACATTTTCACTATACTTGCCCTTTGCATGTGATGTAAGTGTGTGGACTCAGCAAGCATGAGAAAGAGGACTACTTCTGACCTGCACATGCCCAGTGTACTGTGAGAAAATTCCCCAAACGGTGTAGATCAGGAGTAGGGTTTTTCACTGAAATTTTGCTCCTCTCCACCTGTATCCAGGCTATAAAATTAGATAATCTGAAAAGGGCTATGGTTGGTTTGAAAACTGAAATAATGAACTGGATGTGGAACAGGATTACACATTTTAATTTGTTATTTTGGGTCAAATGTTTCCTTCTACCCTGTTGCTTATTATTCAGAAAATGTTAATGCCACACACACGAGAGACAGGGGTGTTTTTTTTTTGGTAGAATGTGAAGTCTCTTTTAATATTTGATAGAAAAACCATTGGCACAAACCATTCCTCCACATGTGTTTAGCTCTACGCAGAGCATGTACAGGAGGGGATAGATGATACCAATAGTTCACTGATGATATTTCTATAGCTAGTTCACCAAAAATGATTGCTGACTTTGAAAGCAACTGCAGATGCATGAAGTGATGAGAAAAATATTGTTTCCAAATGAAAAGCCAGCATTTCAAAATGTCTCCAAAATCTCTCAGATGATTATTTTTATTTATTTATATAAATGCTTCTTCTGCTACTCTGTTACAATAATAGCGAAGAAAGGCAGAAGTTTAAGAATGGCAAACAGATGGTATAGTCTGATAAACAATGGCTCAGTTCAGACTATTCCTGTGATCTTGTGTTAGCCTATAGTAGCAAAACAAAACAGAAGGCCTGGGGCACCTTCAAAACTAAAAATATTGGAATAAATACTGAAGTAACTATTGTTAGTCTTTAAGGTCCAACTAGGCTTCTGTCTTGCTTCAGTTCATATATACCATAAAACCGTGATCTATTTTAATTATGGTTGGTTTGTGAAATGATCACACAAAACCTGGCATGCTATGTTAAATACTGGCTTCAGTGAGTTTGCTAAGGCCAGCCATCTCTGTAGCTAGGAGTGTGGAAACAACTGTGACTTGCCAAGATTTCCACATTTGTACATTTCAAAACTATAATTAAGACTATATTAATAATTCAACTTCAAACTATGTTTTCAGGTCCTGGTTTGACAGATGCTACCTAACCATAATTAGGGATATGGCCCATGTGTGAACCATCATGATAATGATAGTTAGTTTAATTAAACTGTGGTTTTGCATTTTGTCAGAACCAAGCAAGTGAGTTTGAAGTACAGACATTCAACATGAACCTACTTGAAAAAATTCATCATCCCTGAAGGGACAGTGATCTGGATTCTGATTTTTTCCCCTTGCTGTTTTTTTCTGTGAGTTTTTTTTAATAAAGAAATTTTAAAAATGAAGGGATAGTATGATAGCTTGTCATAACAGCATTCAGAAGAGCCATTATTGCTATGCTATCACAATGGGCCTTGACATAGGCTTGCTGTGCAGGGAAACTCTTATTACCTTTTAGCAAAGCTGTCAAGATGGCTAGATCAATGTCCTGGTGCCCTTCTGATCCCATGCGAAACACCGTAATCTAAAAGTCAGAGGAAAATAATATCAGAATTTTTTTCAATTTTTAAAAACCTGGCACTTAAATGAGCACATTACCACCATAGCAAAACCAACTTCATAGCAAAACTTCAGCAGAGAGACACTGTGGGCAAACAAAACTGAAGAACATTGATACAAATTAGAATGCGAAGGTCTGAGGATTCAGCAGGCGAGGCACATATATCATAGCAAATGATCAATATATTAAAGAATCAAAGCAAATCTTTCCTCTTCAGGTTTGAAATGGTTTTTCTATATGGAATACATGATACACAGTACATTATTATATACACTTTACAGCTATTGTCTTTCCTTGGTGACTGCTTTGAGTGGGTAAAGAGTTCACACAGTTGCATAAAGCCAGTAATAGGGCAATGACCTAACTGCGGTAGAAATGTCATCATGATTTACATCAGGTTTTTGCAGTGTGGAACTGAGATAATTCATCATCACTTTTCATCTATTCTAGTGCAGTGTCACTGAAATGGTAGATTTACTCAACAAAGGCATCTTCTGAAACTTATTCTCAATCCTGAATACAAAACAACAATAATGTAACACATTTATAAAACGATAAAACCAGAAATGTTGAACTCAATGTAAGCAGGTCCTTTCCATGGAAGTTCATACTACAATAAATCCGTTAAATTATTTTAGCACTACAAGATTTTGTTCTTAATAACATTGATAGCTCTTACAATTAATAACTGTTTTAAAAAAGTGAAGTCAGTGGCATTGGAAAAAGAAACCTTATGAAAAAAAGAATAGTTTAAAAGAAGAGTTCAGCAACTTAGAAATCGACCTATGTCCAAAATACATGGAGCTTGTACATTAATCCACAACTTAATTTCTGTGCCATGTAACAGTAAATATGTTGTATAGTCCCACATATTTATGTTTGTGTATGCACTGACTGTGGTAATACATGGTCCCTTCTCTTGTAAATAAAGGGGGATAAAGCACCAGCTGCTTGCCCTACAGGATGTCTGCAATATGTTGGTGAATCAGGTGATGTTGCTAGAACCATCTTGATTGGTAATGGGTCTTCTTGGAGCTTCAGAGCCCTGAACCTGGCTGAGGATGCTGGCTCCTGAATAACAAGGTGTTTTAAGTTCCACAGGAGGTCTCTACAGGTGATGTCCATCAGATGGCAGCTAGGAAATTGTAAGGAAAGATATTCTGCTTTATTTTGGTGGGATGACCAACATTTAGCTGAATAACTGAACAGCAGTGGCAGGTAGTGGAAAATTTCTCAGGTTCATGTTATTTGGCCATTGCAGGAGAAAGGAATATGTTTGCCAAATGTTCCTTGATCATGCCACAGTTAAAGGCACAGCAGCCTTCTTTGGATCTAAAGCCTTGGAGAAACAGTACAGAAATGCCCAGTGGGCCAGGAAGTGGAATATGGAGATCAGTGGCCACAACAAAACTTCTATAGGAGATAACAGGTAGCTGACACTCAGCCACCTAGGATAAGGCAGATAATATAGGGCCTACAGTGTTACTGTGGCAACCAGACTGACATTTTCTGCTGTGTTATCAGAGAAGTACAACAGCTTAACAGTTGCAAATGATTTACTAGGAACAAAAATAAAAGTAATAGCCTCCCAAAAACTGAAAGGGCAATTATTATGCAATGTAAAACTCAAACAATAATTGGCAGCACTAAAAATGCTCAGCAAACTCTCATAATAAAAACATATGCCATAAGTTACAAATCAAAGGATAAGGAGCAATGTTGAAAAAGTAGCACTGAAGAACAAAGCTAACATTCACATATGAATGTCCATAATCCCTGATGAATTCTGTAAGCACCAGAAAATAGATACACTTATTCATCACACTAGGATATATAGATGTTGACAATCTTCTCATGAGTATATTGCCTAAAAAGACAAGCTTCTTGAGCAAACCAGTTATATTGCTTAAGAAGAATATTGTTACATCAAAATAAAATGAGGGGGGTTATGTAAAGATTTAAAGTTATAGGTGAAAAAAAAATGAAAATATAAATACATGTCTGCACAGAGGAAAACTAAGCTGAATACAATAAATAATTTTGAAAAAAATCCAAGCAGCAAGAGAAAGTGAATCTTGACATTGACATATGAATGCTGACAAACATGTGGATGTTACCTATCTCAGTCAGGCAAATACTGACATTCACCAACATATCTCTGAATTTTTGAATGAGCACTTTGATCTATTGTCACTGCTTTTCCCATAGGATTTAAATTGCTCATTCAGACAGCAACATCTATATCTTGTCCTGCAGTCATCAGTCCCCCTTCCTCACCCTGACTTTCCTGACACCATAGAATCCTATCAGTTCTACAGCACTTCTGCAGATGTATGATTGCTCTCCTGCGGGGTGAAGCCTTTTGGGAAGTCAAATTGCTCACTTCTTGTTTCTTTTTGAGTTACTGATGTGCGCATAAGTGGATATGTGCCGCAAACTTCTTAGACACCACTTGTGTGTTTCATCACCCCTTCCCCACACACTCCATCCACCCCTCTTAGCATGTGTCTGTCTCCAGCTGAATTGGAGAGAGCCCTCACCTCCATTCAGAACCACCACCTTGCCTGTCCCTTCCCCGAACGAAGGTGGCTGTTCACCATATAAAGTGGAGGTGGCGCCAGAGGGAGGCAGCAGCAGTGACACCAGTGCTGCCAATGCCTCACCCCCTTTCCCACCGCCGCTGCCCTGAGGAGCCACCACCGACTTTCCCCAGGCATGTATGAGGCTTGGGGCACCACCACTGCCACAAACTGAAATGTGTCCCTCACTGCTAGTCATCCTGCCACAGCAGCCACAGCTTTGAAGGAGCTATGTCAGGTTGGAAGAAGAACATCCCTGTCTGCCTGCAAGCAAAGCAGGAGCGAGGTGAGAGAGAGCTTCTCTGGGATGTCTGATCGAACTACCCTGGAACGAAAAAGTCCAGATCAAATTATAAACATGGCCACAGCAGGATAAGCAGGCCATCTGACTGCATCCAGTAATCACCAAATGTAAGTCATTAACTGTAAACAATGAGAGGAAGTGAACCATTTAACCTGCAGATTTCCAAAGTCTTCTATAACAGACAACTGGACATAATACAAAGGAAAACAGCTTAACTTTCCTGTGTTTGTAAAAGCTACTTTACTTACCAAACATTCAATTACATTCCAAATTAGTCACAGTTAAACATAGAGACATATTGACAAATGCATGGTTCAAATATAAAACCTAATCATTTCTTGCCACAGTCCAAATTAGCCTGGTCTCCCTCCTCTTGTGTGGTTAACTAATGAATGATTTTCAAGCAATCCACAGTTTTGTTTTATGTTTGAATCACAAATTATAGTTTGAGTTTCTCCTTATAAATCAGGAGTCCAAACAATGTTTAACCCTTTGAAATTGCCTCTCCCCATATAAGCTCCATAGGGCACAATCAACATCTTTTGGCAGTCCCTGTCCCGAGGGATGTCTGACTAGCCTCGACCAGGACCAGGGCTTTTTCAGCCCTGGCCTCCACCTGGTGGAATGAGCTCCCATATGAGATTAGGGTCCTGAGGGATCTACTACAGTTCCACAGGACCTGCAAGATGGAGCTCTTCCACTGGGCTTTTGGTTGAGGCAGCGGACGTCCCTCCCTTTTCCTGGTCTACCCCCTACCAGTGGCCTGGATCTAAATTGACATCAGGACACCAGTGCTGTACCCAGATTAATCTGACTGACATCTGAACAAATTGCTTTACATGGTATTTTATGATTTATGATTTTATGCTGTTTTAATTTGCTATTAAATGGCTGCAGTCACATGTGCCAGTTGAAGTGAAGGGGAAGCGAGGCTATTCCCTCCAGAGTAATTCGACCCACAGTTGCGAGATCACACCTCCCTTCGTAGCTGCGGGCTCAGCCCATCACCGTGTGATCAGACACAACTACAGGTAAGTTGGGTTTTTCTGCTGTTTATTTCCCATGTGCATAAATGAGGAATAGCACCTCCACACCAAGGGCCCCCTATGGGTATGCAATGATGCGCATAATGTGAAGGGGGGAGGGAACTCCAGGGTCATCTAGTCCAACCCCCTGCACAATGTAAGAAATTCACAAATATCTCCCCTCCACACCCGCAGTGACTGCTACTCCACACCCAGAAGATGACAAAAAAAACTTCCAGGATTGCTTCCTGACACCAAAGTGGCAATCAGCATTTCCCTGGGCGTGTAAAAAAGGGCCACAAGAACTAAGCACTAAGGCAACTCTTCTTGCCCTCCCTCTCATGATTTGCTAAGTTCACAGAATCCGCATTGCTGTCAGATGGCCATCTAGCCTCTGTCTGAAAACCTCCAAAGAAGGAAAGGAAGCCTGTTCCACTGAGGAACTGCTCTAACTGTCAGGAAGTTCTTCCTAATGATTAGCTGAAAACTCTTCTGATTTAATTTCAACCTGTTGGTTCTGGTCCGACCTTCTGGGGCAACAGAAAACAATTCCACACCATCCTCTAGATGACAGCCCTTAAAGTACTTGAAGATGGTTACCATTTCACCTCCCAGTCATCTTCTCTCCAGGTTAAACATACCCAGCTCCTTCAACCTTTCCTCATAGGACTTGGTCTCCACACCCCTCACCATCTTTGTTGCTCTCTTCTGGACACATGCCAGCTTGTCTATATCCTTCTTAAATTGTGGAGCCCAAAACTGAACACAATACTCTAGGTGAGGTGTGCCCAGAGCACAATAAAGTGGTACCATCACATCTCGTGAGCTGGACGTTATACTTCTGTTGACACAGCCCAAAATTGCATTTGCCTTTTTAGCAACTGCGCCACACTGCTGACTCATGTTCAGTGTATGGTCTACTAAGACCCCTAGATCCTTTTCGCACATACTACTGCCCAGACAAGTCTCCCCCAACCTATAATTATGTCTTTGATTTTTCCTACCTAAATGCAGAACTTTACATTTATCCCCATTGAAATTCATTTTATTTGTTTT